CCAGAACATTACCTGGGTTGCTGAATTAATAGTCTAGTGATAACTCCACTAGGCAATGACTTCTCATACGTATAAAATTAGGAGGGGCATAGATTGCGTAGACAGGAAGGAACATTTCCTCTTGTTGGAGAGTTCAATGACTAGGGGACATAGGTTTAAGGGAAGATACAGGAGGTTTAGGGGGGATGTGAGGAAAGATATTTTGAGCCAGAAGGCGGTGAGAACCTGGAACTCACTGCTTGTAAGGGTGATAGAGGCAGAAACCCTCATAAACTTTAAGAAGTGCACTTGTGTTGCTAAGGCATACAAGGCTATGGGCCAAGTGCTGGAAAATGGGATTAGATGGTTAGGTGTTTGATATTGACCAGCACAGATTTAATGGGTTGATGGCACTTCTTTCTGTACTGTAGACTGCTACGATTATGGCAATTCAAATTCAGGTGATTATATCTATTTTGTACCCCCTGAGATTGAAGCTGTTATTGTCTTTCAACAACTGACGTCAATCTAATGCCATAGTAGCCACCTGATCTGTCCACTATCTACCACATCAAGACTCATTCAAGTGAAGTGGCTTGGTGGGATACATAATGCCTTAGAATCTTAGTCACTAGGAGTTATTTGGTTAAGTGGTCTTTTTTCAGCTAGCAATATATTCTGCATGCGCTAGTTGGGAAGAAGGCATGAATAATGAGATTGTTTATTTGATCCTGGGATGTGTTTGCTGGAAAAGCCACCAATTATTGCCTACTCTTAAATCAAGGTGTTGAACAATATACCCTCTGTTGATAATTAACATTTCGAACTCTTAGCAAGGATATTGCATATAATGTATCAGTATTCTTTGGAGTAAAATTTGGCCAAAGCTTAGAATTATACTTACAATGGATTTGGTTATAAATTATCTCCGAATCTGTTTCCTTGTTTCTGAGATCACTTTTTTTTGATTGGTTTCAGGGCTTAGCCTTGGATTTCCAGTTCAGCAGATTCATTAGTATTTCTACTTAAAAAGGAAATAAGGTGCAATGTTATGGGACTAAAATTAAAGCTCTTTGCAAGAAACAGCAGAGGCACAATACGTTAACAGTCTACTTCTACCTTTGATTCTATGATTCAACCATTCCATAACAGACCCACATAACAGACAGTTCGGTTGTCAGACCCTACCGAAATACTCAAATTCGAGTTTACAATGGCAAACGCCAAAGTTGCTGCAATGATAACAGTTTGATGGGTTAACTACATTAGTCTTAAGCCAAAGTAATGACTGAAGAGGCGTTTGAGATGGATCAATTGACAAAGTCATTAACCACGCTTTCCTTGGGATTTTGTCATGACTGGCACTCTACAGTGTGATCCACGGCATGAGAGCCTGATTTCCAGGATTTGGATGTAATTAGACAGGTCCCTCCACTATAGCAGCTTACTCCCCTTCACCTCGAGTGCCTGTTAGTTTGTACTACATGCAGCTTGGGCATGATTAATTAGGGTCATAGAGTCACAGAGATGTACAGCATGGAAACAGACCCTTGGGTCCAACTTGTCCATGCTGACCAGATATTCTAAATTAATCCAGTCCTATTTGCCAGCATTTGGCCCATATCCCTCTAAACGCTTCCTATTCATATACCTATCCAGATGCCTTTTAAATGTTGTAATTGTATCAGCCTCTACCACTTCCTCTGGCAGCTCATTCCATGCATGCACCATTCTCTATGTGAAAAAGTTGCCCTTAAGTCTCTTTTAAATCTTTTCCCTCTCATCTTAAAGCTATGCACCCTAGTTTTGGACTCCCCCACCCTGGGGAAAAGACCTTGTCTATTTACCCTATCCATGCCTCTCATGATTTTATAAACTTTTCTAAGGTCACCCCTCAGCCTCCGACACTCCAGGGAAAATAGCCCCAGCCTATTCAGCCTTTACCTATAGCTCAAACAATCCAACCATGGCAACATCTTTGTTAATCTTTTCTGAACCTTTTCAAGTTTCATAACATCCTTTAGCAGGGAGACCAGAATTGCATGCAGTGTTCCAATAGTGGCCCAACCAATGTCTTGTACAGCCACAACATGACCTCCCACTCCTATACACAGTGCACTGAACAATAAAGGCAAGCATACCAAATGCCTTCTTCACTATCCTATCTACCTGCGACTCCACTTTCAAGGAACTATGAACCAGCACTCCAAGGTGGCTTTGTCTCCCCAGGACCTTACCATTAAATATATAAGTTCTGTGCTGATTTATTTGCCTTTCCAAAAGGCAGAACTTCAAATTTATCTAAAATTAAACTCCATCTGCCACTCCTTGGCCAATTGGCCCATCTGATCAAGATCCCATTGTACTCTGAGATAACCTTCTTTGTTGTCCACTACACCTCCAATTTTGATGTCATCTGCAAACTTACTAACCATACCTCTTATGTTCACATCCAGGTCATTTATATAAATGATGAAAAGCAGTGGACCCAGCACCGATCACTGTGGCACACCACTGGTCACAGGCCTCCAGTCTGAAAAGCAACCCTCCAGCACCCTTTGTCCTCTACCTTTGAGTCAGTTTTGTATCCAAATAGCTAGTTCTCCCTGTAATCCATGTGATCTAACCTTGGTAACCAGTCTACTATGAGGAACCTTATTGAATGACTTACTGAAGTCCATATAGATCACATCCACCGCACTGCCTCCATCAATCCTCTTTGTTACTTCTTCAAAAAACTCAATCAAATTAGTAAGACACGATTTCCCATGCACGAAGCCATGTTGACTATCCCTAATCAGTCCTTGCCTTTCCAAATACATGTAAATCCTGTCCCTCAGGATTCCCTGTAACAACTTGCCCATCACCGATGTCAGGCTCATTGGTCTATAGTTTCCTGACTTTTCCTTACTGCCATTCTTAAATAGTGGCACCACGTTAGCCAACCTCCAATCTTCCGGGGCCTCACCTGTGGCTATTGATGATACAAGTATCTTAACAAGGGTCTAGCAATCACTTCCCTAGCTTCCCATAGAGTTCAGGTCCTGGGGTTTTATCCACCTTTATGCATTTTAAGCCATTCAGCACCTCCTCCTCTGTAATATGGACATTTTTCAAGACATTGCTATTTATTTCCCTGTGTTCTACATTTTCTATATTCTTCTCCACAGTAGAAACTGATGCAAAATACTTACTTCCTCATGTTCTATGTTTCCTATATCCTTCTCCACAGTAAACACTGATGCAAAATACTCATTTAGTAAGATGCAAATCCTGCATTAAAGCCCCAGATGTTGTTCTATGGAGTTCTTATTTAAATACATAATCCATTTTCTGGATGAATGCAATACCAATGCCCATTCTGCACCACATATCACCCAGACCTAGTCAACCATTCCATCTTGCATCCATGTCAAAGAGGAGACTCTGGAATATATTGAATAGTTCCCATTCCTTTGTAGGCAACTCTTTCAAAAGGACACCATGGATAAGGAGATCCAACACTGGATCAGTCACACTAGCTTAGCCTTCCAAAAACTATTGTGGTGTTTGACAACTAAATCAACAAAAGTCCTAGTGTGTCATCACCACATTCTTGTACACATTGAGACCTGGTCTGTCTACTGGTAACACATAAATTTGCTCAAAAATTCTGCCCATAATGCCTCTGCTGCACTTTTTATGAAAAAGATGTTATCATTTTTGAAGTCTGCTCCGCAACCATTCAGACGAAAAACAAAATCAATTACGATAGTCTGGAATGAACACAGTGTCTTAAATGTTGGAAAGCATCTTCTTCACCAGATCTCATTTCCTCAACTTCCAAATAGCCAGTGTTCCAGGAAAGACAAAAATAGACATTTCAAAGATACTTTGAATCTCTCTTTGAAGCTTGGCAGCATTGACATTAATGATTGGGAGCTGCTTGCTATCAATTGTTCAAAATGTCAACAATCGTCTATCAAGTTGTATCATGCTTTGCATCCAAATACCATCATGATGAAGCAGAGTGGTAGCAGAGGAGGAAAGAAAAAGAAGCAAATCCGCATCTCAGGATCCCACTACTGGGTGGGACATCCTGCGTTTGGTCTTGTGCTCAAAGATCTGTGGCTCAAAATTGGGTCTGATTAGTCACATGGAGATCCATGGGAGGACCACACGCCCTTGAATAGACCCAAACCTTGAATAGCGAGATAGTTGTTGATGTTTTAAATGATGAGCAGAAGAGCCTTAAAGTGGTTGTGACACTGCACCACGTGGACCAACCGTATTAGCAGGCTGTTTCCTATTTGAGAGATAGTAGGAACTGCAGATGCTGGAGAATCTGAGATAACATTTTCTGAAGAAGGGTCTCAGCCCGAAACGTCAGCCTTCCAGCTCCTCTGATGCTGCTTGGCCTGCTGTGTTCATCCAGCTCTACACCTTGTTATTCTCTGTTTCCTATTTGAGATACTTAAGCCAGATGATTTTAGAATGCAAGATACAAGCAAACATTTTCCTATTCAACCTGTTCAGCGATGTTATTAACACACCTTTGGAGCAGGGGCTTGAAACCGGGGGAGGGGGGGCTACTAGACAAGAAATAGGGACACGACCACTACACCCAGACGAGCCCTCACATTCAATATGCAGATGTTATCTAAGTCATACGGCTGGAGGCGTGCCTGAAAGGGGCGGGGCCGCGGCATGGAGGCGGGGCCAAATGAGAAGGCGGGGCCCCATGGTAATGGGCGTGGTCTCGTGTGATGGGCGGTGCCCGTTCTCAAACACACGTGCGCCTGGTTCCTGCCCCGCCCATCCTACAGTCGCCTTAGAAACAATGGAACGCATACTAAGTTTCCCGGGAAACGGCAGCATGTTACAGTTCAAAGACACTACCTGCAGTGGCTACAGTTGCCATCCAACGCTGTGTTGACTCAAGATTACCCCGAGGAATTTGGAGGCGGGGTGCTCCATCCCAAATGTAAAAGTTGATTTTATTTAAATTTAAACAATTCGTTTTATTGCATTTCTCCCGTGTCATGGCAACGACTAAACCGACTTTCCTGGCGCAGCCAGCGGTGAAGTGCGTGCGGGTTTACCGCAACGGGGACCCCTTTTACGCCGGTAGAAAGTTCGTGATCAACGAGCGCCAGATCTCAACCTTTGAAGCTTTCTTGAAGGAGGTTACCAACGGTTTGGAGGCACCATTCGGGGCCGTCCGCAACATTTATACCCCGCAGCAAGGCCACCGTGTCTTCCAGCTGGAGGAGTTGGACACCGGCAAGCAATACGTGGCAGGAGGCAAGGAGAGGTTCAAAAAACTCGAGTGAGCATCAGTAATATTATTATTATTATTACTAATGCTGTTTAAATATGACTGCAAATAAGCAAAACTATAGGTGAAACATGTATATTTAGATAGTTATACAGTCTTCGGTGACCGCACTACTTTGAAAATAATTTTTAACAACCTGTTTTATGTGCAATTACACAGCATGAGTTTATTTGGCAAGTTTTCAGAAGTACACGCTGATTTATCGAATTCCAGGTGCATGCAGAAAAAGATCTGTTAAAGTTGTGTTTTTCAAGGTATAAATTCACTTCAAGAACAACATAAAATGATGAACTCTATTCGTCCTTTCGTCATCATTTAATTAGATACCGCTATTAGAATTAAAGGTAATTTTAAATATTATTTAATCGTACAAATAGAGAAAACTAGTTTTAAGTATTAATTTATTTTAAAACAGTAATCTATGTTGTCTCAGTTGCTGGATTCAAATCATCTGATCAGTTAAAGCATAAAACACTAAACTTCCACTTTGCTGTACTGTTTTCAGAGCAAAATGAATTTTGAATTTTCAGAAAATGCACTGTTATGAAGAGCTTTCCACGTTTTCTTCCATGAATACAATGTGTACGTAATATTAAAGTCATTTTTAATGAAGACACCATTGTTACAAAGACTCTTAAAAGTTACGAACTCAGGGCAAGTGTAACATTCATCCTTTCCAGATTTTAGGCTACAGTATCTTACTTTGATAGGTGTGAGGAGAACATACATGGCTATATCAAAATCAAGGTTCCCACTCCACGGCATGCTACAGAAAGGCATTTCGTCTCAGTGTCTATTAACGTCTATTATGAATAAATTATTTGTTGCTACAAAATTTAATCAAATACAGATTCAACCTCACTGGCAAGAAAAGTTGATTTTTTTCTTAATTGTAAAATGAATGAAAACAATTAAATGTTTCATTTTTCAGAATAATCGACCCCACAGAAAAAAAATCCAGCGAAGACGATTGTTAACAGGATGATAAACGTGTTGTCTATCCTTTGTATTTCAAAATTAATTAACTAATGATGCATTTTTCTTTCCCTGGAAATATTTCAAATGAAACAACCTAAAATAATTTTTTTCTTCAGGACTATTTGAGGCGCAGAACTAGTTCTCTATTGGTCAGTTAGAAAGCAATGATATAAGTTGGTTTCAGTATTGCATCAATGCAAACTGTAGTGTAATTTGGGTGTGAACCAATTGAAGTACGTGGTTTTGTACTCTTTCTGTCACAAATATAGCGCAACAGGTGAGAAACATTTTTGAAGTGCCATAGAACTCGCCTTGCAAATTTTATAGAATTAATATTTAGTCTTAATGTAAATAAAATAGTGTCCCTCTTCCCATTAAGTTGTATTTTGATACCATTGCATGGAAATTGGTTCATGTAAGGAAATGCATGCATGTTTTCTTTGGTTGGCAAGTAAGGTAAAGCTGTAGTATACCTATGATCTCAGAGTGGTACCTTCAGTATGGCAAAGCCCTTGGATGGATCAAAGTAACAGGGAACAAGGGAAAAAATAACTCACTGACCTTCTTGCCCTCTGCACTTGTTGAAGACTAATCACTCTAACTTCTGTTCTATCCTACCCATCCCTGCCCCCTTGGTGTTGCTGAGTTGAACAACAATCACTTCCCTCTTAACATTTCCTTCCAGAAAGCTCTTCCACTCATAGGCAGGACCCTGTCTATCTCATATTCTACTGTGACAGAATGCTTGACCTCTTAGCTTTGAAACTCAGCTCACCGGTTTCAATTCTTCAGTTCTTAAGAGTCATGCTGGACTCCAAATGTTTATTCTGTTTTGCTCTCCACAGCCGCTGCCGCACCTGCTGTTTTACCAGCGCTTCCTGTTCTTATTGCCATACTTTTCCTGTTATTTGAGCCTTCCAGCTTGGTGATACAGTCCACCACCTGCCTTATCCACGCAGCCAGTATGATGGCGTGTCCCTCTCATCAGACCAATCTTAGCCTCTCCCCGACTGCTCTGGTATCTAAACTTCTTTTCTAGTGCCTTGAAGTGTTCCACTTCTCTTGACGATCTCTGCCACCCTGCCAACCCCATCCAGAGGTTCTCTGTTATAGCTTTCCTCCTGTACAGTGTGAGACCTAGTCCTTCTCACATAATTTGAATCATTATCTGATAAGGTAATTCTTCAAATACTAAGTTTCCACTTTGCTGTTCTGTTTACTTTGGTTTATTCGGCACAAAATTAACTTTGAATCAGAGAACAGACTGCTCTAATGTTTATCATTACATTTGCTGATTTACTTCTTGATTTTTTTCTACATGGCGGAACATTCTTGAATGGTGAAAATTTTTCATTGTACTCATTCATGTTACATTAAGAAAATGTAACTATATTGGCAGTGTGGTTAACTCTGTATTTGACCTAATTTCATAGCAAAGAATAATCACACTTTATCATCACTTCTCAACAATGTATTTTTAAAATAGAAAAGGCATTAATAAATTTTTTTTGTCTTGCCACAAAGTGAAAACCTCAATCTGAATGTGCAGAGTCTTCCCGCATGTTTCAAAACAGAATAGAATAAATAGACCTGTAAGGGATTGACGTATTCATAAGATTCTCCTTAACTTTGCCATATAGTGTCCAATTTATGACAATGGTCCTGATTCAAGATGTGATCATTTCTGACAATGTCTTCTATTCCTGACCACCCATATTCTTCATTTCTATTCATCCTCATTTATTTCTACATTTGCTGCCAAGTCATTTACAATTGCACTTTCAAAGTGCTAATTGCTTTGAGAACCAATACAAGGAGCTTCTTGATGCCCCCTTATTCTGTTCAAGATTGTTTGGAGGCCTCTGCTGTTTCCCATCATCTCCCACACCATTCACCCCACTGCATCCTTCTTCAATTTAAAATTTGCTTTTTTATCATGTCTGTCCTGCAGCTCAACAACTCCCAGATTTCTGTTCCTCTGATTATTTCTGCTCCCTTTACCCGACTATTGTTTACTGCGCCTTCTTTCTCCTTAACCCCAGACTTTGGAATTCTCCTAAGGCTCTCCTTAAAAGACAGTTCATTGACCAAGCATTTTGTTCACTTGTCCCAAATGCCTCATCCTTTGCCAAGGTATCCATTTCTAAGATATTGCCTCTGCCTCTGTGAAGAACCATGAAATATCTATCTATGGTAAAGATACAATTATAAATGCAAAAGTTCATTAAGGCTCTTTTTGGCTCTTTGACTTTTTGTTCTTCTCTGCTTATTTCTTGACAGATTTCTTTTCAGTCAGCCTATGGTCCAAAGTTAGCATCACAAACGGGAGAATTAGAAATGTGACTCTTAATTTTTACAATGATTTTACTGTGTTTTTTTTTCATTTTAAAATTAACCTTCGTCAAGGATCTGAAGAAAATCAAGTAATGACATGTTTTCTTTTCAGCTATATTCAGATAGGAATAAAGAAAACGAAGCCACTGCCAAAGGATGTTCAGGTATGTCCTAAAAATATATTGCAGTTTACTTTTGATGCATTTCAATTGTCACTGTTAATTTTAATCTTATTGTCAAATAAATATTGTTGAATTCAATTTTTTACAGAATGTCAATATTTGCTGTGAAGTTTGTGGTTAATTTCTGTGAATAAAATACTTATGTGCTTTGTAAATCTTTTTTTTAAAAAAATCATTATTTAATGATTCCTGCAGATAATTTACAGACAATTGATATCAATACAATTATCTACATTACAAATGCTACTGAAATGTGTTTCAAGGAAATCAATCCATATTGTTGCATATGGATGACTTAAAATCTGTGACCTGTGGAGCGGTTGTAAACTGCAATCAAACAGCTATTATAAGACTGCAGGCGGTGTTTTGTTGTGACTGTAGACAACATAAACTCTTGGTTTGCTAAGAGTGTGTCATTTTAATGACAAGAAAATTGAGACTGTTGCAAAAGGTGATGTAAAATCTATTCAGTGGAATGACTGTAATTATCTGTAATTATATATTCAAAAAACAAACTGTTGAACACAAGAAACTTTTTGGGTTAAAGCAATAAATTGACAGCAATCTATCAGTACTAAGAAAAAAGTTGAGTGAATACATGAAGTAATGACCTTTTGAGACCTGGAAATTTAGTTTGTTCTTATTAAGTGTACTTGGTATAAAAGTCTATTTACAATGTAGTCTAATTTCATCTCACCTAGCAAAAGATGTATTCTTAAGACACGTTGAGTTTGAGCATTGAACAAATTCAGAAAAAATGAGTCCGTTTTAAATGGCCAAGATTGGCAGTGAACTCAATCAAAGAAAATCATCCAATTTAAATCCAAGGAGGACAAATTTGAATACAGTGTATTCTGTTGATGGCAAGAAACTAGAAACTGTGGGAATGCAAAATAATTCATTAAAAAGATATAATAAGAAAATTAATGCAATATTGAGTCTTGAGAGCTAGGAGAAACTATACTTTAAGGGTTCAGACCCATCTCCTAAAGGGCCATGGAGATGGTGCAGCTCAAATTCATCAGAGTGATACCAGGCTTAAGACGTTGGCATGATTGATGGATGATCTAATTGAAACATTTAGAATGATTGAGAGGATATAGGAGGACATTGCAAAATTTTAATCCAGTGACACTGTGGCTTGGATGAGAACTTGCAGGCGGTGGTATTCCCCTGTATTTGCTGCTCTTGTCCTTCTATATGGTTACGATTGTGGGCTTGAAAGGTGTTCATTCATGAAATTGGATGTTTTTGCAACATGTTAAGTGTTCATTTGCTATCATTTCAAATGGTTAATCTGACAATCTGCAGACCTGAAAACCTGGGCAAATGTACCAAAGCATGGCATTGAGCCGCATAAGGAGGTAGTAGCCAGAAGCCTGATTGAAGAGGTGAGTTTTGATGAGAGCCTCTGAAGAGAAAAGTGGGGTGAACAAGTGTAGGGAGGGAATTCTAAATCGAGGGGCCTGTTTAACTGATGGTCAGCTATGGTGGGAAACAGTTATGACTGGCAATATGTAAGAAGCCAGAAGTAAAGGAGCATGTAGAGTTTGCATGTTCTACCGATATCTGCATGGGTTTCCTCTGGGTGCTCTGGTTTCCTGCCACACTCCGGTTTCCTCCTGCAGTCCAAAGATGTGGAGGTCAGGTAGATTGGCCCTGTTAAATTGCCCCGTGGTGTCCAGGGATGTGGAGATTAGGTGGATGAGCCATGGGAAATGTGGGGTTCCAGGGATAGAGTGGGAGGTTTGCTCTGGGTGGGATGCTCTTCGAAAGTTCGCTGCAGACTTGATGGGCCAAATGCCCTGTTTCTGCACTGTAGGGATTCTGTCACCATAAGCCATTGCAAGAGCAGTGCAAGTACAGTAGTCCATTAGATGTCATGTGAATTGTGTGCTGCTTTGCTATAGATAGTACAATCACTTGCACATGAAGGAGGTGTTAGTTTCTTCGTGTTGTGTGCCAGTCATCCTGCCAAGCAGTTTTAAGCCATCACTTACTAAAGTTGATGCACCCTACCTTTAGGAGACAGGCTGCTCCTTCAGATCAGTACAGTTTCTTACACTGCCTTCCTATGTTATTTTTCCTGTTTCCGCAATGCTCCATTTTGGACTGGAAAAAGCTCCTCACAATACGTATCAAATACTGCAGAGCGCTCAATAATAACTATTTACCACTACTAGTCACAGTAAACATAAAATAATATACAGTACTAAATCACTATTCAAAATAACCACCACACTATTTTTGGTGAAACAATGTCTGTAATCTTGACAATAGCAAGAGAATTACTGGCCAGGTCCTAATACCTCAGCCAGCAGGAATGTTCTATTGTAAAAGGTTTATTTATGATATGTATGTAAAGCAGATAAGGTGCAGAGTTTAAAGCTGTTGTTCCTGGTTCTTTGTTTACCTGAGGAAAAGAAGAAGGCTTCAATAAATGGTTCTGTTTTGTTACTCTAAATATCCTTTGATCTTTGACTGTTCTCATTCAAAAACATGGCTGTGGAAAAGATTACTCAAAAGGCTGTTCAACTTTCATAGCCGCGGTCTAGTTACTACAGAGGAAGGGGAACCTATAGTCAAACTTGCATGTTTACAGTTCTGATACACCAGTTTTCTGTAGATCATCTGTATTATACAGAATCATGTCACACCTCCTAATCTGCATAGAAGTTTCCATGTATTAGGTGAATATCTCAAGTAGTTTGAAGCTGCTTTGAATCTATCCTGTTTAGTTTGAAGAAACTGCAGAATCCACAGCTAATCACATAATGTTCTGTAGCCTGGCAACTTCAGACGGTGGCTCAGCATTTTACATTGAGGTAAACTGTTGATGGTGAGTCGGAAACTAATTGGGCAAGTCAGTGGGATTTGTACATTTGTATGTTGCAAAAAAAAATTGGAAAATGTAGTTCTTGCAGACTTAGCATGGTGCCTCATGCTAACAGGAATGATGACTGTTGTCCTCACAGAATTATACCACAGCCTATTCTAACCTCAACCCATTGTCCACCTAGCAAGACAAGGGCAGCAGATTTATGAGAACATCATCACCTGCAAGTTCTGCACACCATCCTGACTCGGAACTATATTGCTGATCCATCATTGTCGCTGAGTCAAAATCCTGGAACTCCCTCCCTGATGCATTGTGGGTACACCTGCACCATGTGGACTGCAGCTCAAGAGTCAGCTGAACACCACCACCTCAGTTAACGATGGGAAGTAAAAATTGCCCTTGTTGGTGATGCTTGCAAACTGTGAATGAATTATTTTTAAAAAGAGGACAGAATTTGAGGCATGCAGATATTTTGGAGAATAGTGGGGAAGAAGTTACGGAGATCAGGAGGGGCAAAGTTGTGGAAAGATTTGTAAACAAGGTGAGGAATTTTAAAATTGAGACATTGTGACCAGTAGCTAATATAGTTCAACAAGAACAGGCAGGGATGATCGGTGGAATGATATTTCTGGTGTATAAACCTTGTAATAAAGGGAATACACCAGAAGTTTTATAATGTGTTGCAAGTAAATGTAAACATTTTCCTTCTATTTTACAATATTGATCTTTTTCTAATTCAAACTTTATTTCATATCCAAACCTTATTTATTTCCAATTGAAACTGCTCATCCTTGAGAACTGTGGTGATTGAAAGCATTTTCAAAACCTGTCTTGCATAATTTTGTTTGGTCTATAGTTTGCCTTTGTTCCTACTTAATTGGAACATTTCTATTTGGTAGGTATACGCCTAAGTGTTCAATTGAAATTCATTGTTTATGCACATGAATATGAACCAATAATCAAGTGTAAGACATTCTTACATGTCTCTACATCGTGCAAATGTGAGATCACAGAAATGTGACAACCAAAATGTTCTGCGTTCAAAATTTATTTTGTCAATTGTAAATGAAAACAGAGGCTAGATATTAATGGTGGTGAGGATACTTAATTAAAATGCTTAAACCTTGAACGACATTAAAAAGTCTTGGGCTGGATTTTGTGAGGAGTGACAGTCTTGCGCGCATTGGTACTCTGGCCCTTCCTTGTTATGAAACAAGGGCGCTCTGCATTGCTGAGAGGCGATTCCATCCAGATCTGCTTCAGAAATGCAGAGGCATGCTTCATTTGTAATAGAGATAGTAGGAACTGCAGATGCTGGAAAATCTGAGATAACAAGGTGTAGAGCTGGATGAACACAGCAGGCCAAGCAGCATCAGAGGAGCAGGAAGGCTGACGTTTCGGGCCTAGACCCTTCTTCAGAAATGGGGGAGGGGAAGGGGGTTCTGAAATAAATAGGGAGAGAGGGGGAGGCGTACAGAAGATGGGTAGAGGAGAAGATAGGTTGAGAGGAGACAGACAGGTCAAAGAGGCGGGGATGGAGCCAGTAAAGGTGAGTGTAGGTGGGGAGGTAGGGAGGAGATAGGTCAGTCCATGGAGGACAGACAGGTCAAGGAGGTGGGATGAGGTTAGTGGGTAGGAGATGGGGGTGGGGCTTGAGGTGGGAGGAGGGGATAGGTGGGAGAAAGGACAGGTTAGGGAGGCGGGGAGAAGCTGGGCTGGTTTTGGGATGCGGTAGGGGGAGGGGAGATTTTGAAGCTGTTGTAGTATGGCGCACTGACCTCTACATCTCCGAGGCCAGACGCCAACTCTCCGACACCTCCTCCTACTGCCCCCTTGATCATGACCCCACCCCCGACCACCAAACCATCATCTCCCAAACCATCCACAACCTCATCACCTCAGGTGACCTCCCACCCACAGCCTCCAACCTCATCGTTTCCCAACCCCGCACTGCCCGCTTCTATCTCCTTCCCAAAATCCACAAAGCTGATTGCCCTGGTCGACCCATTGTCTCCGCCTGCTCCTGCACCACCGAACTTATCTCCACCTATCTGGACTCCATTTTCTCCCCCTTGGTCCAGGAACTCCCTACCTATGTCCGTGACACTACCCACGCCCTCCACCTCCTCCAAAACTTCCAATT